ACCCCTTCATTTTTTCCCCAACCTGAAGTATGACACTGAAGTGGCAACTTTCTTCCTACTGCTCCTACTAGTCCACCCTTAACACATTTTGTTGGGAAGAAGGTGTAGCATTCATCAGATTGTATGTACTATTTGATTTCTCTGTACTATTATTACAGAGAAATAATGTTAGTAAAACTACTTCTTGAAATAGTTTCCAGCTCCAAATTACCTAGCATGGAAGTAAGAGCTCTTGAAAATCTTGAAGAGACATAGTAGGAGTGATAGCTCAAAAATTCAACATAAAGAATTCGTTTGAATGTGCATTTCACTCGTCGAGATATACAAAGCAAACCAGAAAAGTGATGAAACTTAAAAAACCCTATTTTTCCTTTTAGAGGAATATATATATATTTTTCCAACCTGTTTACACTCAAAAACACTGTAACATGAGCAGCAACACCAGCATAGGGAATGTCACAATGTATGTCTCACTCCAGACACAACAATCTTTATTTTGCCCTAAGCTGGGAGTCATTCTTTATTAAAATCTGGGAGCAGACTAACAGAAGCATAAAATACAGGGCTTGAGAAACACAGTCTCAGAACATATCAGAAATAGTTTCATCTTAGCATTCGCACTCTGTTGTTGAGCATGTGATGAAGTGTTAGGTTTCAGTTCCACCAGAACACTGCCAAAGAATTTAGGTGATTTATTCTGCAAGCAAACTTGTTCATCACTGGAGAGAGGAACACGCTGCTGTCTAAGTAGCTTTAATTTGGGAATTACATATCCATAGAATCACAGAATCATTAAGGTTCTTAGATCTTTAAGAACATCCCAAATCCAACCACTTGCCCAGCACTCCCAAGGCCACCACTAACCCATGTTTCAAGTGCCACATCCACATGGCTTTTAAATCACTCCAGGGATGTTGACTCCACCACTGTACCAGAGAGGACCAAGGCTGGACAACATTTTCAGGGAAGAAATGTTCCCTAATATCCAACCTAAAACTTCTCTGGCACAATTTGAGGCTGTTTCGTCTCACCCTGTCACTTCCTACCTGGGAACAGCAACCCCCCCACCTGGCTCCACCCTCCTGTGGAGTTGTAGAAAGCGAAAAGGTCCCCCCTCAGCCTCCTCTTCTCCAGCCTGAGCTCCGCCAACTCTTTCAGCCTCTCCTGGTACTCCAGACCCTCCCCCAACACCATCCCCATCTCTGGGCATGCTCCAGCTCCTCAGTGTCTGTCTTTCTGGGAGACAGGGAGGATTGGAAGTGCCTCACCAGTGCCCAGCACAGGGGGACAGCCACTGCCCTGGGCCTGATGCCATATCATTGCTGGCACAGGCCAGGTGCCATTGGCCTCTTGCTCACCTGTGCTCATGTTCAGCCACAGTTATCAGCATACCCAGGGCCCTTCCCAGCTCTCCAGCCACTTTGCCCCAAACCTGCAGTGTTTCATAGGATTGTGGTGACCCAAGGGTGGATACAACCCTTGGCCTTGTTGAAGCTCATACAACTGGCCTTGTCCCACCAGTGCAGCCTGTCCAGATCCTTCTGCAGAGTGTTCCTGCCCCCTCCAGCAGGTCAATGCTCCTGTCAAACATGGTGTTCTCTGCAAACTGACTCAAAGTGCACTCATTGCTTTGAAATCTTTCAGACTCCAGAACTTCTGAGAATTCTTTCTTCCTACATATTGCATGCACTCTGGAGATGCTGAAAGAGACCACTGAAGAAGTGAGTTAATGAGAAATTTTGTCAAAATCAGATTCTTGTCTTAACATGGTAATTCAAAAATTCATACAAGTAGACATCATAGGAGAAAACTTAAGAGCATTTTGGTAGTACCAAAACCAGGTTTTGGAATACAAGAGAGGAACAGTTATTAAGCAGATTACAAACACTAATATCTCTACAATTACAAAGCTGACCATATACTATATGCTACTGGTAGTCACTCTGTACTTCATTCTAAGTTCAGTACTATGGCCAGACAAGAGCTAAGTTCTCACCACAACTTCCTACTTCAAAGTCCCAATGTAACAGAGAAAAATTGTAAATTCTCAAGGTCCTCATAGAAGTGACCTGGATCATCCAAGTAAACCAATCTGAAGAAGCATTTCCCAGAAGTTACATTCTAAAAGCTCTCAAAATATTTAACCAGCTCAATAGGAGGGCTTAGAAAAGTCAGTAAAGAAACTTGAAAGTGTAGTAACACCTTTATACAGTATGACTTTAAAAACAAACTCCTGTACTTAGGAATTTGCTCTTGAGCGAAAACCTCAGCTATTTCCCTCAACGAACAATTTCTAGAAATTCCTAATAAGGAACTCAGAGAAACCCTGTGTCTTGGCTTAAAGGACAAGTGCCTGCCAAGGAAGATGGGAACCTTACTGGGATGCAAAACATGAACCCCTTCCCTCCAAATTACTGTAAATTTGAAATTACAGGGCTTTCCAGCAAAGATATGGAAAAAGGAATAACAGGGCTTTACTAGTATATATATATGTATAACGACAAATAAACAACAGCAGCAGCAAGAACAAACCAAAAACAGAAACACAACCACAGCCTCCTCTTGGCCGCCAAGCACTTTCCCCTTCGGTGCAGTTATGGTCACAGCCCACAGGGGCACTGGCGGCTCCCGGCACAAAACCACCAAAACCAAAGTCTGATCTTGAGAGAGACAAAGAGAATGGAGCCCAGCCCCTAGCTCCCAGCCAGGTCTCTCAGTACCACTGCATTTTCCAAGAGAAAACCTCCCAGGTAAGAGACAGAAGCAAACTGTGCCCCGTCCCAGCCCTGGCCATGTCTTTCGTCTTAAGTATCTGTCATCTTAGACAACAAATGGGAGAAAAATTTCCTGAGAAAGGAAAAAAAAAAAAAAAAAAAAAAGGAAAAATCCTAATCTCCAACAGCCTGCAATGAAAAAAAAATAAAATAAAAGCCAAGTATGTAAGTATAAGACAGTCAATAATGAGGATACTATATGTTATAGTAAAAATCAAATAATGGGATTACATCACTGCAATTACTCAACAATTTATGTTGGAGCTTAAAAAGCTGCTAAAACACAGGTAACTGAAATAAAGAAATCTAATAATGTATGTTAACTGCTGTGCTCAACACAATTAGGAGCAAGGGAGAAACATGATCCCAGCAATTTAAGACATTTGACATAAAACCTTGGAGCTGGTAGGATTGTTTCTCCAATAGCTGGGAAGAGAAGATCTCCAGCCGGAGCTAATTCAGAAAAAATCTTGCACAACACAGGTAAATAGCCCAACAGGGATTCATTTGCTTAGCTAAAAACTCTCCCCTTCAGAAATCTGTTGTGAAATCAAGTATTAAGCCACAAGAGTTTGGAAGGCTATAGCACAAAGGACTAAACCTTCTAAGCTGTATGAGAGAACAGGAAATTGAAGTAATCTTTACACACCCACACACAAGGAGCTCTACTACTCAGAAATTTGTTTTCTAGATACAAATGTTGTAGTTTGCAACCCTTCTCAAAGTGATGTACCAGAAGGAGCATGATCATCTGCTGCAAGAACTACACTGAAGCAAAACAGGTCAATGTTCTATTAAGGTACCCAGAAGTGTGTTCAGACAAGTTATTAAATGGTATCAAATATACTTTGCAAGACATAATTATATAGTTGTGTTTTATGGTGTCACAACAGGAAGACAAGTTTAAATATTAAGGCAAATTACCTTGCCTGTCATGCCAAAAGTCACTAACCTTCAGAGAGAAATCAGACACTTCCAAGCATCCAAATTCTGTCAACTAGGCACAACAAAACCCTTCCATCTTTATTTGAATTGTGAGGAATTAGTGTTAAAATATTCTAATACTTTGACTGCATATTTCAAAGAGAAGAATTTGTTTTTTCACAGCTTCCTGTCAATAGAGCTTCCTGTCAATAGAGCTTCCTGTCAGCTATTTTCCACAAGTTCATTCCCCTGTCATTTCCTTTGCTTCTTTTTCAAACTTTTGTGGAAAAATGAAGTTACTGATGCTGCAAGCCTGACTGCAGCCATCCATACACACATACAGGATCGCAGAATTCCTGAGCTGTAAGGGACTTCAAGCTCATCACATCCCAACCACCTGCCAGGGCAGGGACACCTTCAGTTAGACCAGGCTGCTCCAAGCCCCATCCAACTTGGCCATGAAAATTTCCAGGGATGGGTAGTCCATAAAGTCTCTGGGCAAACTTTGCCCAGAATCTGAACAGAGAAGATGGGCTTGCACCAATGGTCAGTGTTGCATTCCTGGCAGTTCAGTGGCTTCAGGCTACAAAGGGAACCTTAACCAGTAATTGCCACTAATTTCATGTTAGAGCACACAGGTGCCAAGACAGTGGGAAAATAAGCAAAGTTCCAAAATGCAGGAGAAGACATTCAGAGAGTGAATTTAAAGACAGCAAGACAGTTTCCTAGAAGGAAAACAGTAACATTATAGCTACATATTCAAAGACAATGTTACAGAACAAATGAAAAGCTCTACACTGAATATTCAGTTGATTTATAGTAGGTGGCAGGTTACTGTGCTTTTTCAATTGATTAAAAAACTCTATGTTAAAACAAAGCTATTTGTTTTCTCCCATTTATCAACCACTATCCTGGCACTGGCAGCAGCCTCCCAGTGAAACTACACCTGCTATCTGCAGTTTATTCCCATAGCCAGTGGCAAAACATAAAAGGCAAGTTTTCCAAATAGAACCCAAAACTCATGAAACACTAAGAAACACTATTTAAGTTTTTCTAGCATTACTGGATGCCAAATCAAAGCCATATATGCGCCAACAAACCCAGAATAACAAAGCTGAGTTACTCTATTCTATCCCAAAATTCCAACAAGAGACACTCAACGACTATTCCACAGCTACTGAAAGCAGTAACCAGTAACTTTAGATTCCTTATTCACCTCAGACTGCGCAAAACTGTTTAAGATGGGCTTTTTGGTGTTGATTTGTTGAAGACAGTAGATCAGTGAATTTACAATATACTCACTCTCGCTCTTTTTCCGTCAGCTTGTCATTTATATTGTCTTTGATTGTAGACCGGGAGCCCTTGTGAATTATGGGATACCTGAGTGGCACTTGCAAGAAGAAGGATATCATGGAAATTAGGTGAGCAGTATAGCCCAGGGCCACAGCAATGCTTCCATCATCTTTTGCTGTCAATGACAAAAAGATTATATCATTAATTGTATCCACCAAATCCTAATATTCATCTTTATTGCTCAGAGAACAACAATTACTGTAGCTCTCAGAAGTCAGAACTCGAGGACAGAAGGAGACCTGGTGTCGTTTTGGAGAGCTTTACACGTGTTTGCACTGTATTGTGTTTGCCTCTTGCGATGAGGCACAGAAAAATGATGGCTTGTTCTTCTGCAAATTTTACTTTCAAAGCTATACTGCCAGGATGGGGGAGGGTGAAGAAGAGATGGGAAAAGTGAAACAAAATTCACAAGATAAAACTCAAGTATTAAGATTTCTGCGTTTCTCTAGATGGAGTTGACACTCCCGTGTGAGTGGGATCAGGAGAAAGCTGCATTCCTCCTCAACTTTATTCACAAGTGAGATCAGTTGGAGAGACATTGACCCCAGGCTATGAACTCTGTTCTCTGCCAATAGCCAGAAAAACTTAAGATTAACCCATTTTTTAAAAGTATAATTTTCAATTTGACATTTAAAGTTTCAACCTTAAAGCTTCACCTGCCAAGAATACACATAGATCTTGCAATTGAAACTACATCTTTTAGCCATATAAAGGCTTTTCCTTTCTCTTTTCTCTATTTTTAATTCTTTTTAAAGGATATAGACAGCATTATAGTCATCCCTTCTGATGCATCCATGAAACCAGCTGAACAGAGGACCTTCAACAAAGCTTATAATGATATTCAACAACCATACTGAGCTCTATCAGAGCCTGTCATGATGTATGTATTTAAGTTACATCCCTGTCAAAATGGATTTTGTAAAAAAGGTTCAAAATTTGCAACCAAACTGGTTTTCTAGGGATTTTTTTTGACACCTAGTTTTTTAAAAGATACTATCTACTGAGTCTGCGATAAGATCCATGCCAGACAGCTGGGTTTCAAATTTAACTGCCTGTTTCACTAAATTGAATGTTTAGTACTTCTTCCCCACAATACAATTCTTCTAAAGACTTGGATAAAGAATTAGTAATTCTTTTGCAATGAATTAATACCAGGAAACTGAAAATGGGTCAGAAGATGGCACACCACTCATTCCTCAGGAGTCAGCAAACTGAGTTCATTACCACATTTAGTGAAATCAAGGAAACAAAGCAATAGACTGATTTTTGTCCTGCTGACAAATTAGTTCGTTTTAAAGATTATTCCTCCAATATTCGAGCATCCAATATACATATTATTAGTATAAGTTAATTACTATGGGGTGGCTTTAAAGAGTCAGACAATTGATGGAGGTTTTTCCTTAAGGCTTAAGAGCGAACACGTACTGGGGGCAAAAAATCCTCAAGGAGATTTTAATGAATTTCCAGTTCACATCAAACATTTGTACATGAATGCATGCAGTTACCTGTACAACTGTTATACACACAGGCACATGATATATTTGCTCCTGGAATAGGATGAGGGATGACAGTTGAAGTAGAAGGTCACTTGTAAAGTACTCCATACTGTCAGAGATGTTCAAATGCTTTTTTTGCAAGGTATTTTTCTGGCAAGTTCACCAGCAATGACAGTAAACCAAACGGAGATTCATGCCTGTTGCCCTACCGAGATTTATGGACTAAAAGTAGCCCCAATGGAATTCTAAGTCAGACACCAATATTTTCCAGAACCACTGAGTTTAAAAGGCACTTCACCCCTGGCTCAGAGCAGGTTGTCCCCAGGACTGTGTTCAGCTGGGTTCTGAGCATCCCCAAGAATGGAGACTTCGCTGCCTCTCTGGGTAGCCTGTTCCAGTGTTTCAATATGCAGTCTTAGAACACAGAGGTACTTTATTGAGAGTCAAAAGGAACCTCCTTTGCTTTAGCTAGGAAGTACCAACAAATAATTTGTCTGTTTTTTTCTAGTCTATATCTTTCTGGTCAAAAATTTGGACCCCAAGCTATTGCTACCAGTTTTCTTAATTCTACAAAGTTTAGAAGCAGTGTTAACTGTAACAACTACATTAAGAATATGCAGCTACCTTGAAAGTCTTCAGAATTAGGAAGCTTGACTCCACACACAAAGTAATCCTTTTGGTTGTTCTGTAAATTTAACATCAACAGTGGAAAGTGAGCATGAAACAATAACATCCAGAACACCAAAACCTGCATAAAACATGACAACAAAGCTAACAAACAATAAAATAAAATTTAAAACATTAAATATTCAACTAAACTTAGAGTGAGTGACACAGTGTTTTAATCCACATCTCACATAGTTCGGAAAATAAATGCAACTTTTTTAAAGAGTAAAGAACTTTATATTAATTCATTATATAAAAGATTTTATATCTCAACTTTTTAACATGTTTCTATGCACTCAGCCTACTGTTAGGATTACTTTATGCAATGGTACACAAAATGGAAAACATCCATTAAATTATAGCTATTCTATTTTCATAGAGGGCACTTGTGTATGAGGTGCTGGCCTAAGTTCCCTCCCTGTAAAGTTTGTAATCTAAAGACCAAATGTAAGAAAAAGCTGAAATAAACAAAATGAGCAAAGAGCAGATTCTGTCACAAGTAAAGCATAATATTTGTTTTCAGTGTAATAAATAGGAACTACATTTCACATTGAGCAGATTGTCAGGATGTTGAAAACATACCAAATCAATAGGGTAGATGTAGGACAGCTCCGACAGCAACTGCTTGCATCGAATAGTCTGCTGGGCATTTATCTTCAAAAACTGTTCTCTTTGGGGAAAGAGATTCCAAAACTATTATTTTCTTCAAAAGCTCAAAATAAAGGTATCAAGCTGTCATACCCCTTCTGCAGCTTTCCAATTATCACCTCTTATCCTCCAAAAAGTTAGGTAAATCCACCCAAAAAAAATACAGTACACAAAGCTAATGTTTGTCTTCAGGCATACCAAACATTATAGACATATTTTGACTACAAGAATCAGGTATTACAAAGCTGTCTTACACTAAAACACACCTGAAATTCCTATCAGAGTCTACACATACAACCAAGCATTAGTTTTCTTCTCTTCTAGACTTGCCACTGGTAATCACTTTAGATATCTAGGAATTGTAGCAGGGATATCTCAACAGAAGTTTTAGGGCAACATGAGGAAGAATTTGGTGCCAGAAGTCCCATTTTCAAATGCTTGCTCTCAAGCTTATCTTTTTTTTCCAGTTACAGAACAAACATAGGTCCTTTTACCTCTTAGCAGTGCATTCCTTTCTTGATTCATATAAAGATTCATTATGCTCTTCAAGTTTCTGGTATTCAGTCTCAAATGCATTTGCTAAGCAACAGGAGGAATTAGGAAAAAAAAATAATATAAATATTTTCTTAGTTATCCAAAGTTTTAAAAGTAGATACTGACAAAATGTTGGCAACAATCCTCCACTTATTCTTACTCTCCCATTTTCTATATTATGCTCCCAAACTAGAGAATGTCAGACAGCACAGGAGGAACACCTGTCTTCATGCACTACACACCATTCACCAGCCAAATACAACCCATCATATTTCACCTTCCTTTAATACCTATTCCTCTCACAACCACACAGTGCAGTAATCCAATTATGGGATCCCATTACTTGCACAGCCAGAATAAAATACATGGTAAAAAACATCCTTTTTAGCAGTAATTAATTACTTTAGACTCAACTAAGCGTTGAAAACAACAAAAAAATCCTCCAACAAAATCAAGTATGTGTATAGTTTGGTCTTGGTGAACTCTGAAGAGGCAGTGATACAGCATTTCACTATAGGAGACTTGCCCAGGATGATATCCTCCTTGTAAAGGATGATACCAAGATGACCGAGTGTTTCATCTGTCACATATTAAAAGATTAAGAGTGATATTTGTCTTCTAATACTTAAAACTGAATCCAAATCACAGGTACAGCAACATCCCTTGTGACATGAAGTCCCTTTATGACGGCAATGTTTACTGTACTATACTGCAGTTCTTCTGATGTTCTCATAAAATGTCAATTAAACACAGATTTAAGATTGCTTTGGAGAGGTGTCAGAGTAAGAAACTATTTAGAGACAAGATACCAGAAACTGCTGTCTAAAACTCAGTATGATATAGAGTGAAGAAATTACACCTGGCTGCAAATTTCAGGTAAAGAAAAAACACAAGCAGCAGCCAGACAATGAAAACAGAGAAGAAACCAGCACTTTCATTCTGGTCATAAACTAGGCTAAGGCTTCTACACATACCTCTGTCAAGCAAAGTACTTTTTTGCTTATGCAACAAGGCTACTTCTTGACCAAGGGCCTTCTTCTGTCGCTCCAGTTCATTACGCAGCACCAGGATCTTCAACTGTAAACATTCACTCTCCTTTTTCTAAGGGAAGAAATACAGATTTTAAAATAAATAAATAAATAAATAAATTTATTTCTCCGCACAGAAGCAGTTGCATAAAGAGGTGGTAGGAGAGAAGGAAAAAACAGGACAAAACTAGCACCTGCTTAGGAATGGAGTTCATAGATTACCACAGGCAACAGATTCCCAAAGACTAATAATTTTGCTGCTTTGGAAGGAAAGAAATGCAGCTGTGTGTCACAGTGCTTGATCCTCCTGTGGGATGCATCTCTCTTTAGCCCAGACCAAAAATTAAGAATAGTGCTTTACCAGGACATCAAAACTGACAGCACAGCACTCGCAGCAGGATGAGCATTCATTCCCTAGCAAAGGGCTCACCAGCAAGAGGGAAGGTGAGCAGTAAGAAGTCTATACAAAGTGAAGGCAGGAGCTGGAAAAAGGCTGGCAATATTCAAGCTGCGCTATCAGATTCAATTCCCAGCTTCAGGATTATGAGAATAAGAGGATACAAAGAAAAAGCTGAGAGAGTGTTCAGCCTGGAGAAAAGGCTCCAGGGAGACCTTAGAGCCTCAGTTGTCCAAGAGAGCCAGAGAGGGAGTTTGGACAAGGGCCTGAAATGACAGGACAAGGGGAAATGGCTTCCCATTGCCAGAGAGTAGCATGAGATGGGATGTTGGGAACTAAATTATTGGCTGTGAGGGTGAGGAGGCCCTGGCACAGGTTGCCCATAGAAACTGCGGCTGCCCCATGCCTGGAAGTGGTCAAGGCCAGGTTGGACAGGGCTCGGAACAGCCTAGTCTAATGGAAGGTGTGCATGCCTATAGCAGAGGCTTGGAACTGGATGAGCTTTAAGGCCCCTTCCAACCAAAAACATACTAGTATTGTATGATATAGTTTTGCTCTCAGATATTAAAAATCAAAGGCCTTTGCAAGGAGGAACAAACATATCCATAACTGAAAAGGTAATGGTTAAACGGTCAAGATACCAGAAGGCAAAGAAGCTCTGGGTTGGAATGACTCACAAGAGATTTTATATTACCCCGTATGGAAGGTGACTTCTTCACCTCTTCATCTACAACGTAACCCCTGTAATTACAGAGGGCAAAAAAGCTCCCATTTTTCCCACTTTGTCAAATCCTTGAACCAGTTTGACGCTTTTGGAACTTAGCTGAGTACTCTCAATTCAGAATCTGCTTTACAGCAATAAATTAACTTCACACTGCAAATGTGTCCTTTACAAGGCACCAGACACATACCACTGAGTACCAACATAATGAAGTCACCACAAACCACTGCTATTCTGTCAACTCATCTTTGAACCAAGATCAGCTTTTCTGGGCAGAAAGCAGAAACTAATGTCAACAGACTTCTCTGGGGAGGGGAGGGGAGGAGAGCAGGCAAAACCAAATGTCAAATGCCATTGTAAGATCTAGTAAAATGTCTGTTTAAAACAAATATGTCACTTGAATGACAGCATTTGTATGAATTCTGTTCATCCAAAGAGAGTCAGGGTGCAAGAAGATACAGCCAATAGACTCACCTCACTCTAAATCCAGCACAGGTTCCTGTCAAGTTTCATATAAATCATTAGAAGTTTCTTTTTCCTGAAAGACCTCTTTTGTGCACTGTGCAATGTTTATGCTTCGATAGCATGATTATACAAAATACAGGTAAAAATAGGATAACCAATTTATCAATGCATCTGAGTAACTCACACAACTCAAACTGGGTTGTGTGGAGCTATTATACAGCTCTCAGATGAGTTCCCATTTAAAATGACAGGTGTAAAGAAAGACTCCAAGTTCAAGTATTATAAAAAAAAAAAAAGCTTACAGTCAAGACATCAGTCAGATGCTTCAGCAAGCCCACAAAATAAGGTTTTAATAAATCAAACATACCAGTTCATTCCTTGTAGATGTACATCTCAGCTTTTCTTCAATCTCCCTTCCTATTTTCTGAACAGTTACCTGAGTCTGTTTAATTGCACACTGAGCTCTGTGGAGCCTAAAAGGAGAAAGTTACAGCTGTGATAAAGGTTCCCCACATGTGCAAACACCTCAAAACCAGCAACAGGAATGCAAACTCAGACTGTCAGCTTCCATTTCAAAATATCAAATGAGGAAGCATAAGGAAGGCACAGCTAGATGGGACATTGAGCAGAAATTGCTCCCTGTGAGAGTGGTGAGGCCCTGGCACAGGTTGTCCAGAGAAGCTGTGGCTGCCCCATCCTTGGAAGTGTTCAAGGCCAGGTTGGATGGGGTTTGGAGCAACCTGGTCTAGTGCAAGCTGCCCCTGCCCATGGCAGGGGGTTGGAACTGGATGAGTTTAAGGCCCCACAACCCCAAATCATTCTGTGATAACTTGCAGAGTGTACGAAGAAAACTGCTAAGTCTTTCAATTCAACCAAGTAACAAAATCTCCTCTTCAATTTTTGAATTCAACAAATACTGACCAGGCTGCAGGCGAGAGAGCAGATAATTACAGGTACCTCACTTAAGTTAAATCACCATTAACGTGAAAATAGACACACACAAGCATGGTTAACACAGGGCAGCTTTAGAAAAAGTGCAAGTATCCTTTAGCTAATACACAGCTACCCAGCCAAGAACATGAAACATTCTTCAGTATCTCCCACTATGCTATGGGTCCTTCTGTAGCAAAAACATAGGTTTCTTAATTGAATCACATTGGAAAATATTAAAAGATTATGATTATGCATTACTGATTGTCAGCCCTGGCTTCAGGGTGAAGAGAGAAAACCAATTATTTGCTGTATTTATTGGAACAAAAACAGGCAGAGGAAAAAGATGGCAAAAACAGGTCTAAGAGAGACATTAACATCTTTCTTAAAATTAACACAGAGTAGAAATTACTGTATTTATTAGAAAAAGAGGAGTTGTACATGGAAGCAAACAGTGCTAATAATATTAATACACAAGGTCTTGTGGTTTAGAACTTTTACATGTTACAGTTCTAAATGAATACACTTAAGTCACCAGATGCCTTTAGTTCCTTCATACTGTTGCTTTTCCTAAACACCAGCAATAGCATAATTTAAAGCAAAAGTCTAAGCAATTTCTTTGGTTTCTCTTGAGTTTCTCAAACTGCTCATAGCACCAGCAGCTGCAGAGCTGGTCAGGGGCCACCCCATATGAAGAAACACTGCTCTGCTGGCTGCTGAGGGGGTGGGCCAAGACTGCTGAGAGCAACAGTCCTGCATCTCCCAAGGGCTTGGTGTAAACATACCTAATGAAGAACTGAGACCTCCTGGAAACCCTGATCCTACTGGGAACTATTTCTTACACCTCCCGCCTTTGTGAATGCACCCTGAGGCTGTTGGCTACAGAACACATGGTTACACAGGTCAAAGCCAAGGTTTGCTGACCATCCTGAACACCACTCAGAGCTCTGCTGTCATGTCATCCACTTCCACACTTTCCAAGTTGTCTCCTTCCAAAAAGAGAAATCTGGAATGTTTTCCTTCTACATATTAGAAAGCCTTATCCAAGATGAAACTTTTTGGTAAAAAGTAATAAATGAATGACATTTCCCCTTCCTCTTTATGTAGTTTAACACTGGAAGAACATTCTTGATTTAGTCCCTTAGGTGATCACGAGACAGTCTTACAAGTTTTCACAACATTCCATTTAGGCAGCAAAACCTCCTGGAATGTGTTCTGCTCACTGAAAGAGTACTTACATAATGGAGAAATTATTACAAAGGTCATTTGTCATGTGAGTTCCTCACAGTGATTTGATCAACACTCATTAACAACCTACAAGCTGTGTAGTAACCAAGTTCTCCTATGCATGCTCAAAGGATAAGGAACAAACATCTACAGAGACTGACTTCTCAAAACAAGACATTTAGTAAAATATTTGTTCAATTGGGTGAATCAGTATCTAAATATAAATTTCTGACATATAAAAACTGCTATACAAAATAATTCAGCAATAAAATCTGGTTTTAGTAAGAAATTTATTTCTTTTTAAGCCAAGCATCATCCACTCATTCCTTGCACAGTTAAACTTTGCTGCCTTGATGCCAAATAGGGCCATTTACACTGCAAGACAGAAAAACTACTGATATTGATTGACTCAATCCCAGTACATCCACTGTTGTTCTAAGAAATTTAAAATGGTAGGGACTTCATGTCACAAAAGTAGCAACCATCAACAGAATTTTCTTCTCAGCCAAAAAAAAAAGCCCCCGTGTGGAAATCTTTGGTCATCCAACAAGGGGAATACAAACTAAGCTATTAAGAATGCCAACATGGAAATTTTGAGTATCACTTCAGCACAAGCAGACTTTGGTGGAAGCAATTATGATTGCACAATGGAGATCAGCAAGCTGAGGCCATAAATCTGGATTAAAACATATACAGAATAAACAAAGAGAAACTTCAACCCTGACTGACCACATCTTGTTTCCATTTCTAGGCTAAATGCAGGTCCAATGCTACAGCTTAGTCAGCACAAGCTGTCCTTTGAGTACAATCCTGCTTGGTTTAATAACAGTCAACAGTAAGCCAACTGATTACATCACCTACATGCCATCAGCCAACGTGGGATTCTTCCTACATTGCCCAAAACTTCATTTTTTAAAGTACTTTATTAAAAATAGCACTTCCATAGTGCTTTAAAAGCTAATTGAGGACTTGAAGAGGCCACTGGCCTGCTACCAAATTTCCTCCAGCACTTGGGAAAGCCAAGCCACTTACAGCAGAAACTCCAGCCTTTTTGAAGGGATAGTTTAGCCAACAGTGTTGTCACTCAGTGTGTGCAGCAGCTCCCAGCCACTGTCAGCCAGAAGCAGAGCAACTGGAACGTGATGACTGACAGATTTACTGCTGTTGCTTGGGGCCCTGAGAGCTGCTCTGCAATTGTCCAACATCAGGCCAGTTCCATGCTGATGCCTGGGAAAGAACCGGAAAGCAAAGCAGACATTTAAAGTCTTGAGCATCCTGACTGATTGAAAGTGGAACTCCACAAGGCTGCTGTTCTACTTCCATTCCTGTAGCACCAGCTTTCTGAGATGGGGGAGATTAAGAAGACCCAAAACACTTTCCCTTCCTTTGACAGTTTAGAAAACAGTTGGATATATTAAAACTGCAATCCATGTATTGTAAGTTAAGACTAACACAAGCTGCATCCCTACTTGGTCTACAAAGGACCAGCACATAAAATTTCAATATCTCTCCTCTATGCTTTCTAGATCCCAAGTTCCTGAAATACAGGCTATTTGGGTTATTTTCTCAAGGCTTTTCAAGTCTTACATCTAATTGCTTTCCCCAACAACTACTGCCCCCTTCCCTCCCCCCCCAAAAAAAGCCCAAAACCCACTTTCTACCTTGGCTATAAGATTTGAAACCATTCTAGTGTTCCACCAATCAATCCAGTTTGGTTACTGGGTTGGATGGGGACAGGAGGAAAAAATGGTTAGCATATTTTAGACTTCATCCTCATTAGAGGATTTCTTTGACAAAATGTTCTTGTCTTGTTTGCAAGATCAATCAGTTTTCCTTACTTCCCAGGACTGAACAGTGCTGTGGCCCAACATAACTTGACTTTACAACTTCAGAATGTGCTGTAACAACACATTCTCTTTCTTTAAGCCTGCAGTAAGTTTGAATGTTCAGCTGGAGTACTTTCCTTTTCAATATGCTGCAGTATCCTAGTCTCTCTTGGTCATGGAATAGTCCAGTGATTTACTAGTTAGTATACAAGTTCATTTCTTATTGCAATCTCTAAAAAACTGAAAGCTGGAGTGTAGTGAGAGTTATGCCTATTAAGTGTCTTGCTTTGAAAGACAGGGATCTGTCAAGGAAGGCGGAACTTCCCTTGAACTGGAAAAATTACCACCTTCACTCCAAATTATTATAACCTGGAAATTAAGGGGCTTTCAGGCAAAGATATGGGAAAAGGAATAACAGGGCTTTACTAGTAGTTACTTGTACAACAAGACAAGCAAACAACAATGGCAGCAAGAACAAAAAGAAGCCCAACAGTAAAAACCCCCTTCTCCTGGCCGTTGAGCGCGTTCCCCCCGGTGCAGTTCTGCTCGCGGCCAGCAGGGGCGCTGCTAGCTCCCGGCCAGGCAGGGCAGGCGCAGTGATTCCTCCACGGCTGCAGGGGGTGCTGTGGCACGAGGTCAGTTGCATTGCCCTCCCATGGTAACGCGGGCGGGCTGGATGGCAAAAACAGCCCACAGCAAAAATAGGAACCTCGGAGCAGCAGCTCGGATGGCAGAGGCAGGCACACACACCCTGCCACTTCACCCCGCGGTAACATGAAAACTCCACAGCCTCAGCAGGAGCCACAGGTGTCAGGTGCACTCGGGATGCTGAGTCAGAGCGTAGTGATAAAGCCTGAGGCAGCGGCAGAACCAAGTGGGGCTGGGCTGCAGCGCAACCAGGAAGACGCCCTCCAGGAGTGAGGAGGGGCTCAGGCTCCCGGGTTTTCCCCTGAGGCATCCCAATAGGTGATGAGGGTCCTTTCCAGTCAGATCACGTGTTACTAAGGTCCCAGTTAAAGGGCTGCTCTAACGAGCAAAGGCTCACCCTTGGCAGAAGGCGCAGTGAGAGGACAAAGGCTCCGCAGTGGCGGCAAATCCTTTGGGCAGCAACTTCAGACCAGCTGTCCCTTCTCCAAGGCTGAGAGCGAGAGCACAAGAGGAGCCGAGCCCAGCCCTTCACCCACCCTTTCTGTTGGAGCTGTTACTAGATTCAGGGCCCAGAATAAGAACTCTGGATTAAACCCCTCCATCAGAACCAACTCCTTCCTTCACCATCGCCTTAAAGCTTCTCCACACAGGGAAAACTGGGGAGAAGAGCCTCTGCGAGAGGAAGCTCCATCCCGCAAGCACCGGAGCTCCGACGTGCCTGGACTTGTCTCTGTGGTGTCATCTGGCAGTGTCTCTGCCCTTCCCATGAGAATGCCCCTCAGCTAGGACAGTCCAGCCAGCTGCACTCCTCCCCCTGGCTACATATTTTGTCTCTTTTAAGT